GGCTAATGACACATACAGCAATTTTTTTTTTTTACCTACGGAAGGAAGAGCTTGGACTCGGCGTGCGGTGGTAATTAAAATTAAGGATGAAACACATCTGATATAATCAGACGTCTGTAATTGCCAGATAGTCGGCCGGTATAAACGAGACGGATGGGACGGCTGCCGCTACGTGTCTCCTCCACACTAGCGTTTTTTTACGCTACGATGGATCACCTACTTTTTTTTATTTTAACTCTTCAACACAAAAGAAAAAGGAAAATTTAGATGATATATGCTTGTAAATGATGGTATTTTTATCAAAGAAATATTATCAAAATAATAATAATAATAATGTTGTTATTATTTGTTATTTTCATTATCATATATTTGATTTTTGCTTATTTCAATTAAATAATATTTTTTACCATTTTTTTCTTCTGCGATTGAAATTAATTTTAATTTCTTGCCTTCAGCGCACCTTTTTACTCTTCCTTCTCCCTCTTCGCCTCCTCAGTACTTTATCATTCGTTATTAATTACCCTCGTTTATCATCTTTCCCTATTGCACCCCAAACTAAGGCAATTTGCTCTTCCCCTGTTCTTCTCTCCTGTGAGAGTCCAATCGATTTGGGTTAGTTATACACACAGAAATCACAATAGCGTAATATATACAATGAACAAATCCACAAGAGCCGTGATGAGGGTTCGAACCTACGCACGGGATGTTCCCAGCTGTTGCTAAGCTGCGCCTTAGTCAACTGTGCCATATGTGCCACCATGTAGTGGCACAGATGACTAAGGCGCAGCTGGGAACATCCCGTGTTTAGGTTCGAACCCTCATCACGGTCCTTGTGGATTAGTTATTCAGTTTATTGGATTAGTTATGTTTACAGAAAACGGAAATATTCCTGATCAGTATTGTAAGGGTATTAACCGCAGTCTCTAAGTGGTCAGAACCACAGCACACAGCCCCGCTCCTGTGCCAGGTAAGTCCACTACGGGCTCACCATAGCCCGTGCTATTTGAAACTTTTGTTTCCCAGTAGCTGAATCTGTAACAACATCGTCAGAACGTACGCAACATGTATCGCCAAAGCAGTAAATAGGTACCTGGGAGTTAGACAGCTGCTACGGGCTGCTTCCTGGGGGGTTACAAAAAGGAGGCTTGATCGAGGACCGGGCCGCGGGGACGCTAAGCCTCGAAATCATCTCAAGATAATCTCAAGAAAGCGCATATTCAGATTCTCAAATACGTATATTCGCTAGGTAAGGATGTATTTGCTAAGGTTAGCTGTTTTGGATTAGGTTCAAAATCTGTTGGCGAGCCGTTTTGAGTATAATATGGCTTATATCCAGCCACAACTGTAAACATTTATATATATTACTAATAAATAACATTTCTATATCTACATTTGTCAAAGTTATAATGTACGTTTATAAGTACATTTGTAGATTTGATTTTATTTGTTGTGACTAAGGGGGCAAACTGATCTCTTGTACGTTATTAGGCTCTAAACCAAATTAATATTTCTGATTTAAAAATTTTTTTTAAATAAAGATGAAGTTTTTAAGGAAATTTTGTGTTTATAAACTGTATTTTTAACGCGGGGTGGCTCGCTGTGGTGTTAATATTGCAGTTTACTGGTAGTTGCAAATGTTGGGAGTTCTTGATAGGAAACTTACTACTTAACTGTGAGAATGTGGGTGTGTTGGGGGCGTGCTTGCAGGGCCGACCTCTGAACACCGCGTTGCCGCCCTCGGGTTAATTAATACATCTTTCCTCGTGTAGTTTATCATGTAGTCTTCTCAGACAACTGAACTTCACTCTCCTCCTAAAGCACTTCATATGTTTGTAACTTATGCTGATCCTTCGCGCGCGCGCACGTGTGTGTGTGTGTGTGTGTGTGTGTGTGTGTGTGTGTGTGTGTGTGGTACTGATCTATCATTGCTGTGACATCCCCCCCCCCCTCACGTTTGTCAGCTGGGTTACGCCGTATTTCCACTATCTGATGGGGGAAGCTACGCACTAGACGCAGCTAATGAGAGAATTGTTCTCATAAATAAAATCCGGGCGCTGCATAAATTTACCAAAGGTAAATCTGTCCCTCGGACACCCTTGCCTGATATTTCTCGTCCCCCTCGCATACATTATCACCCAAATGGCAACTAATGAATCAAGCTAACTCCTCGCCTTGACGAATATGCAAACAGACAACCACGGTGGCAATAAACCACCTACTCCAAACTACCGGTAATTGATCTTTCTCAGTGGGTTGTTCACACGGGTGACATCTGGCAACACTGTCACTCTTACCAACTTGCTCCCTCTTCCTTAGTAATCTAACCCCCAATATAAACACATAATCACAATGTCATATTAGCGTTAAAATAACAATATAGATTAAATGTAAACGAAAGAAAATGGAATACACGTATGTAATAAGTAATATCAATATTACATAAAAGTTTCGGCCTTGAACATTTTATTCGTGGGTCGCCATGTCTGCTGCTGGGTGGCGGGACTGAGCGCAGGGTGGCAGGGGTGAGCGCTGGCTGGCTTCGCTGTAGGTCTGACAACTCTCATTAGGGAAGCGACAAGAATTTGGACACCTCACCGCAGATACCAGATCAGATAACCTCAGGGGCAGGGGCTGGTGGGCGCTGCTGCCGCGTCTCACAACTGTCGAGTTGAGGAGAGGAGGAGGAGGAGGAGGAGGTGTAGGCGTAGTTGCCACGTGCTTCCTGGCCGAAGGTATGAGAGAAAGATTTTGTTTTTCGAGTATTATTTTTCTTTTGTTTAAGCTGTTTGTTTCTGTGGGTTTAGATATATTTTGTGTGATGACTGCGAAGTGCTGATATGATATGTTCGCTGTGTTTTGTTCTTGTGATGTGTCAGTCGTTCTGTGCTTGTGTCCAGTGAGAAATGTGCTGGGATGTGCCCCTCTGCAAGTGCTAGTGTGCTAGTGTGTTCAGGATTCCCTGTGTTACTCTCTCGCAAAAGAGGGAAGACGTACCGGTACACCCTCTTCTCTTAGGAGAGAGAAGAGGGTATTAAGGGAGAGAGAGACAGAGAAATGTATCAGGGGAGGGACAGAAGAGGGTATGAGGGGAGAGAGAGCTCAAGTGCCACCTATTTCCCTACGTCTCGTTCTGGAGAGATTCATTGGATCGATCTTGCTTTATACGTGAAAGAAGTGACTTGTACACAAAAGATGCGACATTTTATCGAGAAGCCATATTTCTTACCTCTGGTAATCTGTTTTACTTTACAAGTTCTAAATTGGACTCGTTAATCACGCCCGATATATACTTAACTGAGAATTAACGACAAAACGAGCAACATTATAACGAACAAACCAGAGTAACGGACTAAGGTGAACCAAGGTCCAGAAAACAAGAGAAGCCTCGTGATTCGTCAGTTGCTTCCTCGTGAGAATCTTGACTTACCTAAGCCGTCTTAAAACTGAGCGCTTTAAGACGGCTTGGGTAAGTAAGTCCCCCCCAACACAGGTAGCAGCAGACCTCCAAGGAGCCTGTAGTCGATAAACTTTAACGTGGTCTTATCGGCGTGAGGAACGCTAAAGATCACCTCCCCGGCATAGTTTACCACGCCTCACAAAGCTCGCCGTGAACACATGTAGGTTGGTGGTTCGTTAGTCTCGGTAGGCGATTCGGTAATTAGCTTAATTCGATAGTGATCTGGGAGAGAGAATGAGCATGGCTTAAAGCAAATCTTCACCAGGCAGTAGTGTATTTTTCTCATACACGCGCGCGCACTCACCCACATGCAAACACGCGCCTACAAACACCCATGTGTACACATTCTCATACACACACACACACACACACACACACACACACACACACACACACACACACACACACACACACACACACACACACACACACACACGCGAGTGGCTCCAGGGGCGATGGTTAAGGACGATTATGCCACCCTGCTCACGCCTGTTCATAGCGTTTTCCTGCTTTTTTTTTTTTTGCTTTTTTTGTTGAGTGTTGGGTCGTGCGCCTCAGAGAGCATTTTAATTAATGACGTCCGTGACAGTTATCTGGAGAGGGAGGCGCCGACTCCGGCCCGCCAGCGTTAACGTCAAGACGGAAGGCCAATTTGCCAGCAGTTTAGAAGTTCCCAATCCCAGTGAGCGACGTTTAGGAGCACAGGCGAGGCACCGGCCGTAGCTGCTCTCTGGTCCCACACCCGGAGAATAATGCGTGGTGTTTATGGTTGCCCTCAGACACTTTAGCGGAGGGAGGGAAGGATGGAGGAGGGAGGGAGAAGGGGGGAAGTTGTGAAGGGATTCTCTGGGGGGGGGGGTCAAATCTTCTCTTCTCGGCTTGAACACAACCGTAGGAACCTTAAAAAAGGATTTACATGACCAGTTAGCGTCACCTGAAACCAATCTCTTTTACCAAGGTTAATGAATACTTACGGTCGGTGATGGTAGACACTAGAGAGTTCGACTTCCCCCTGACAACCCCCCGACCCATCCCTCCCCCGTTTGTGTACTGTCATGACCATCCCTGGTACGGGTTGTCATCTACCAGGGTAGACATGGTATGGCTACCCCCTCCCCCCCCCTTCTTGCTGTGTTTACCGTCCTGCTGTTCCCTTGGCGCGGGCTCAGGGTAGATACGACAGGTGTCTACCCTGGTAGATGTGCGTGCGTCTCTATAACTAATGTTTTTATGTTCATGGGTAAGTCATGTACAGTGGAAAGAAATTTAAAAAAGAGACCGGGCCGCGGGGACGTTGATCCTCGAAATCACCTCATGGCGAGACTATTCTCAGTACCACTTTTCATTTTTTCTTTACTGGTCAGTTATTAAAGTCTGAAAAGGAATCGGACGTAGGCGCGAGTCGGACGGAGTGTCACGGACGTAGGCGCGAGTCGGACGGAGCCGCTGGTCCAACCGCAGATGGACAGGCAGCTTGGTTGCCCTGGTGACGCAGATACTCACTATCTACTCAGTCGATTAAGTGTCCCAGTGCCTGGGAGCATCCCAGTGTCTGGGATGCTCCCGGACGCAGGTTCGAAACCTCGTCACGGCCCTTATGAATTTGTTCATTTAACGAGGGAAACTTGAGCATTATAAAACAGGGGCGGGCGTAACAACATAGTAAGAGGTTGACTTACGCCAGGACAATGGGGCGTATAACGCCCACACAGCGGCCGCCAGAGTCTAGTCTCCCTCCCACACCCGCTCTGTCACAAGGAAGGAGTTTGTCTGTCATTATTGTGATGTATTGTCCAGGACCATCGCCTCCGCCGGCCCCTCCACCACCACCACCACCACCACTATGACCACCTCCTCTACCACCACCATCCTCGCCACCACCACCTCACTGTCTACACCACCACTATTTGCCCCACTTCAACCACTACTTATAGATATAATAAATTCAATTTTGAAGCAATGGAGTGACGTGAACTCGCGTTCTCACAGACACCTGTCTTAACCCACTCGGCCACGATGGTACAAAAGCCGAACAACCCGGAACTCTACTAATTCACTGGGAGGTCCTGGAGGCACCAAACCGGAGCCCAACCAGGGTTTTACCGTCGACCCGACCACACTCTTACGCCACACTCACTTTGTACCATCGTGGCTGAGACAGTTAAGGCAGGTATATGGCAATCGCCAGACCGCAAAATCGTCACTCGATCCATTGCCTCAAAATGATTCTCATTGATATATCACGCCATTCTAATTTCATTGTGTATAAAATTCCAACACACCAGAGCCACACATAAACACGGAAACATCAGGAGAATATTAAATTGAAATGAAGTTTATTGAAGTATAAATACATACAAAGGGATGAGGTAGCTCAAGCTATTCTCACCCCGTTCAGTACAACGTGTTATATATATATATATATATATATATATATATATATATATATATATATATATATATATATATATATATATATATATATATAGAAGAAGGTCCTACTAGGTTGAGTAGAAGAACTCCCAGAACCCCATCAAGCAGGTATCGAGCAGGTAGGACTTTCACAGGGTCCCTTGAAGGGTCCTGCCTGGGACACAGCCTATCCCCCAAGGATGGGGGCTCGTACTTTTTCTGGGACTCGTGCAATTACTCCTTTAATGACCTGCGAAGTCACTTCCTCAAAGGAATCACGCATTCATTCCCCCCCCCCCAAGGATTCATGCATGCACTCCCCTCCCTCAAGGGCCCACGCACGCACGCACTCCCCTCCCTCAAGGACCCACGCACGCACGCACTCCCCTCCCTCAAGGACCCACGCACGCACGCACTCCCCTCCCTCAAGGACCAACGCACGCACTCCCCTCTCAAGGGCCCACGTACGCACTCCCCTCAAGGGCCCACGCACGCACTTATCAGCCGATGAAACTTCTAGCAAATAAGCAATAGGAAAATTGTATCGTCGTATGAATTTTGCCTCTCTGGAGGGCGTGGTGTAGCAACACCATTCCACCCAACGAACCACACCAACAGCAACCATTCCACCCAACGAACCACACCAACAGCAACCATTCCACCCAACGAACCACACCAACAGCAACCATTCCACCCAACGAACCACACCAACAGCAACCATTCCACCCAACGAACCACACCAACAGCAACCATTCCACCCAACGAACCACACCAACAGCAACCATTCCACCCAACGAACCACACCAACAGCAACCATTCCACCCAACGAACCACACCAACAGCAATATACCAGAGGTGTGAGGTGCAAGGGTACAAGAATGAGGGGGAGGGGGGGAAGTAGTCGAACAAATTTCCACGTGTTTGCATCACTTAGCAATTGCCTTAGAACTGTCATCTTGCAGGTGTAAAGACGGTATCTTTTTTTTAGCATTTGTGTTGCCAGATGCAGGTGCAGGGAGAGCATTAATTATATTCATGTCAGTGACGGATGCTGAAAGGTTGACAGGGCCTCGCTTGACTCACAATCCCACACACCGATCATTTCATCCAATATATCCCGGGGCAAAGCTGTGGATGATAGCGCATCTTTTTAGATTTACTGACCGCAATTTGTGTTCTCGTTAATGCAGGGCTTGTTTGTGTGTTCATGGTGGTAAGTCTATAGAGTTATTGGTGTTGGTGACTGTCATCTGAGGTGGCTATAGACAGCGTGTGTTGGGTTGTTGTGGTCCTCAGCATGTACACCGTGAGGTCCGCAGTTCGGTAAATTAACCTGAAAGTTTATAATTACTTCAGTGTTAAGTATAGGGATATATATACACTGAGAGATGTATATATTTTAAAGTTTGCTTTAGTACAGGACTAAATTATGTTTTTGTTGGGGGGCCTGGTATAGCGATAAGACGTTACTTTGTAGGTTATGAAGTAATGACTGTCTTTCTGATCCACACTCTACATTCTTGATATTGTATTAATGAATAGTTTTTACAAGTAACTTACGTCAAGTTGTGTGTTTGTTACTTGTCTCATATTTTGTGTGTGTACATAATCGAGCTTCAGCTCTTGGACCTAGTATGCTCAGCCGTAGGTCTTCCAAGATAATGGCTCCAGACCTAATTGATGGCCAGCAACCTATTAAATTATATAATAAACTAAGCGTGTGTGTGTTCGAAAACGGGTGTTCTTCTCATGTATATATTTTAAAGTCAGTAAACATGACTCCCAACAACATAATTCTCAGCTATGTCGTTACATTCACTGTACAGTACCAGGCGTGTACACACACACACACACACACACACA